CAGTGATATAGATAGCTCCTGCACCGAAGCGATCATGTAAACGAGCGAAGAAAACCAACTGAACTACGACCTGTGCGGCACTTGATGCCGCAAGTATAGCGCCGATGCGAGGAGGATCAAGGGAAAGACCGCCAAGTGCAATCGGTGTCGCATAGAAAATAGGTAGGACTGAATTAAACGCAATGCGAAACAGGCCCATGGTGGCATTACTTGCTGTTACGGCCGAAACTTTCGGTGTCAACAAGGCGCGCAGCGGAAGCGGCTTTGATTGGACTTCTTCAAGATGGGCTTCTCCAGTATTAACGAGCACATTGCTCGACAGCTGGCGAGGCTTTGCGTATGACTGTCGGAAGCATCTTCTTTTGACTAGCTCCCAAAGTGGTGTCCTGGTTGAAACGCTCTTGTTACCACACTTAGTGTGATCCAGATATGTGTTTCCAACATCACGCTCACCTCTTTAAGACCGAAATACGTGACTAGCCAAACTACTGATATAAAAATTGTCGGTATAGAGCATGGTAAGAGATATGGGTAGGTTTTCAGGAGTTCTGATCGCCCAAAGATATCAGGGAATCTGTCTGCTGGTCGGGAGAGCGATCCCCCAATGAGTGGTCTAGATATCATAAACCTCAGCGCGAGAGTAAATGTACTGTACCATGCCTACCCAACTACGGCTCCGATCATCCACGGAATTGGCATATAACTGTATGCCTTGGGCATATTGGTTGCGTCAGTGATGTCCATCACCATGCTCTCGATGACACTACTGCTCGCGTCAAATGCTCCGCAGACAACACGACTGGTCAAGAATATCAGTAATTGACGGTCACAACTACTATTCGATATTTAACACGCTGACCTAACCACCAGACCAAGGAAGGTCTTCGACAGCCCAAACAAAACCATCGAAACAAAAAGTGCTAATAGAGCTGTCAGTATTACAGGCTTCCGCCCAATGTGGTCAGACAGTTGACCCCAATGAAAAATAGTCAGTGCATGAACTGCATAGTATGACGATTGCTTGGGAGAATATCAGGAAAGAAGGAAGGGGCAGGAACGATGAAGACAAGCTTACAAGGATGCCGACATAGTAACCAACCTGGGATTCGTCTCCGTGAATCACTCCAATGTCTCTAATGAGCTTGACAAAGTTCCGGTTGTGGTCAGATTCAAGACCAAGCAAAGGGAATATACTCACTTGGGGTATAAACGGGGTAAGGGTCTGAGAGGCAAGAGGATCTGACAGCTGCGAGAGCAGTATAATCCATAATTGGTCCCAGGGTAGAGGTGTCCTAGTCGTTGGCTGCTCCGGTCGTTGTAGAAGAGATGTCTCCTCGTCATCCTGCAGCACTATCATGGTGATACGAGAAATCTAGACAGAGGGAGAAGAGGCGATTGCGCGACAGCTGTCTCTAAAATTACCCTTATCCACCATAGAGCCGCTGCTGGAACTGTACAAGAAAATGCTATTTAGGGTGAATTGAAATGGATTGAGATAGTCTAAGACTGCCTCACGCATGGCGGCGGGAAGCTACGGTTCAGAACTTGAAACACGTGTTGAGGCTGCGATAAGGAGTCCACAAGAACCTGCTTTCTCTCAGATCAGTGACAGGAATGATTAAAAGCGTCACACGCGGACATAATAGTAGGCACCTCCTATTACGCATGTGGCCCCGTATAGCCGCCTGTGGCCAGGAGGTAGGTACCCCGCAAGTACTGTCGCCCAGAGGATCTCAGGCCTATGCCAGTCTTAGGCTAACCCTCACCTGCCACACGAGATGAGATTAAAATGAGTAGACATAATAAAAAAAACGACGTTAATTAAAGGATCAGTTACGACGCTGGGTGCTATAGCATGAGGCGCAAGCACTGCTGGATTAATTACGTCTACGGATGACACCGATACGTTGGCAAGGCGATAACGTATATACCCACTGTCGCTAATATCATTGAAACTAATACAGTGATACTCTGTCTATCGTCTATGTAATATATTGTATTGTCTGCACTGGCAGTTTACTGGCTCGCCACCGTGGTTAATACCAATGGTCGCAATGTTCCTTTCGAGTCCACCGTTATTGTTCGCTTCCATAAGCCCTTTCGTCGTTTCTTCCACTATGATCAATCCACAGGCCATTGTGGGTGCTGAAGATAACCACAAAGTGGTCTGTCCACGGCCCTAACTCATTTAAAGGACGCGGGTCTGTATGGTAGCCATCAATTTCGTCTCACTGAACGCTCTCCCTTGTCCTCACGCCACTGTTTACTATGTCGTCTGACCGTATTGTGCGTCTCGGCCCCAAGCTCACTCTCAGGTTCAAGACTTCCTCTCCAAAACCAGCAAATTCAGATTCGTCTTACCAGAGCTCTGTCTCGGCGTGCCCCCCAGTAGAGGCCCCACGAAGCCAGAAAAAGAGATCTCGAGATGCTCGATATGAAACCGACACTCCTGTCATCCCTTCCTCTGCCATACCGCCCACGCGCGCCATAGTACCATTGAGGCGAAAGATTACTACTGCGACGGATGGAAAATCGGTTGTTGGTCATTCACAGAACAATGAAGCAGTGGGTTGTGGTTATAGGGACGATAGCTACGCGTCGGAGCACCTCTCCCAAGATTGGGAGATGTCAACTCCAGCCAACCCTCCTGGCGCGCACGTTCCTACTCAATTTCTTCAACTGCAAGATGACTGGGAGATGGAATATTGGTGAGCATTTTATTCCTTTTTCAATGGTACGGGAGGCTGATGTCATGTCACAGATAGGTTTGGGTTGTACTATAGAAGGATTAGGAAGGGAAGTCTCAAGGGCAGACTGTTGAGGGAATCGTAGGTGTACAAGCGTAGGCGCTAGTGTAATGGTGTCGGGAAATGTACGTCACTGAATATCTTTTCGGACAAAGCATGGTCGTATCATCTCGCGACGGTCCGTGCAAGCGTTTCGATCGCTTGCCCCCCGATTCTCATATCTGAAACATGACTCACTTGATCGGTCCTCGTCGATTTTTCATATTTCCGCACAAATGCTTGCAGGTGGCGTGCTCAACAGTAGTACTGGTGAGTTGCTGCATCTGCTAATGATTACCGTTAAGTACGTCAAATTTCCAATTCCGGTTCTTAGCCATGGATCTCCATACTCTTCATAGTATGGGCATCGGGGCCTCAGCGTGCGGCTCTTTAGCTAGACGATGAGTCGCGGCTTAGGTGCGAATATGATTGTTGAAGTCTCACCATTATGAAGCTCTTGTTCTGTTTTCCTATTACTTCCTGGAGCCGCTTCAGCGATGTCCATACTTCATGAACACCTGACCGACGTTCTCTGCGCGCATATGTTGCATGACTCCAGGATGTACTCTTGTGGCATCCGGTGATTAGGTATAGAACACGATTCTCGATTTCCGATTGAGGATGATTTCTAGTGAAGTCGAACCAACATTCTGCATTGTCTACGACTTTCTCCGGGAACTGACGATGATTCTGGAGTTCATAACATCGGCACTCTGGAAGGACAAGGTATGCCCATTCCTTGGATGTTGCCTGGCATTCATGCTTGACCGTATTGCCATTAGGGATGGTGTCACTTTATAAATAATGAGCTAGTTCGAAGAATGTTGATTGAAGGAATGCTACCTACTTATCATGGTACGTCCAAAAACCCTTTGAATAACGCACCAGCCAGTTTGATATGAGCGACCCAGGGTTTTCATCATATGAGAATGTGGCAATCTCTTCACGATCCACATGCACTTGTCGAAGATAATTTGATACCCTGTGTCTCGATGAAGGGAGTCACAAGGATCAATTGAACAACACGCTGAACCTGCCATGTGAAGTGATCATGCCAACATCTCAATCCTTATTCCTTTGGACTGACACTCCTATGCGAGATTGATGTCCGGCTCTGGATGCCATAGAGGATAGCCGAAGCCTCGTTAAAGTAGGAGTCTTGCGCAAACTTCGCACTCGTCTTGTTTGTTGTGCATAGTTGGGGATACGAGATTAGGGGTATTACCCAAATTGCCTGTCGGGTGAGGACACGTGATTCAGAGCATTTGAGGTTCACCGTGACGCAACAGCACTTTAGAAGTTTCAGCAGAGAGTTTCCTAACATGCAGGGCCTATGATGCTAGAGCCTCTATTTTGCCACTTGTTTCGAGGTTTCCAGAAAACTTTCGTGCGATTATTATAAATTGCTGACACGGTCATGAATTAGCAACTCAACTTTTTCAGGGTCCTTTCTCGCCGTCACGGTAGCTCCGAGTCTCATATGAGCCAAGTGCTTTGCACAGCGTCATCATGGTGTGTCGTTCTGTGAAATTTGAGACAAACTAAATTCTGAACTAGTGGAGAAGGAGTAAGTTCCAGTATCCACCCTTGCGTGTCATAGTGCTCCTCAATACTCGTGGATTCTGGCAAACCATCATGTGCATGGGCAGTAGAATAATATATGGTAGGTCGACCAAGGAATTGGAAAGGTTCTCAATATAAAAATGGCCCAATTCTCCGAGTCGATGCGGCACAATGTTCCTTTGCCCAACCTTGAGGATATCCCATAGGACGTTCAGCGACTGGTGAGATGTGTCATTCTCGTAACCTAGGACTGCCGGTCTGTATGCTGATACTTTGTTCATATTATCGTCTATGCATTGCCTGTATAAGCTAGCAGATCATCCATTGGACCGACACAGTGGTCAATGCTAGTGGTCGCAATGTGCTTCCGCATTGACCGTCATTGTTCGTTGTCTATCGTTCTTACCACCATGATCAATCCACAGACCCTCACAGATGTGGCGATTGATACCATTCATGGCATTGTCGAGTCCAGCGTCGCAATTGCACTGTGGGTGTTTGAAGGCAACCACACAATGGTGCATCCACAGCCGTAAATAATTTTTAAAGGATGTGGGTCGACAAGGTAGCTACCAAGCTTACCCCACTGAACACTGCATTGCAGAAAAAACATTTACTTCCTACTGCCTTATCCTCACACTACTCTCCATAATGACTCTACCTGGAAAGGTGATCCGAATCAACGAAAATGCCACCATAAGGCTTATGCCCACAAATCATCTTCCACCACGCCTGAAACGCCTTCTGCAGCGTCAGCAGGACTCCAACATTTCTGAGCGCTCTGACTCGGCACTCCCACCCGTAGAGGAGCCAGCCTCAAGCGCAGCAATAAGTCAGGCTGAACCAAACATACCTGCTATAACACAGTCGCCTTCCCATCGGAAGAGAAAGACCCGGAGGAGTAGAGAGAAGGAGAACAATATTGCATCACCCATCGCCTTAAAACGCCGTCACCGTATTCGCGCAAGGCTTGACCATGGTACAGCCTCCACCACACATACTACTATCGATTAGATACATACGATACCTCAGAGCTGCTTGACCTTGTTTCCCGTGTCTGAGACACGGTTTGTTTGATTTATGCTTAATATTCATGGACTCTCTATTTTGCCATACGAGTGGTGTACTCAATGAGTAGCTTCCTCTGCTAGTCATTTATTATGTTATATGACGATTACCTATGGATTCAGGCTATGTAGCGTCAATTGCAATCAAATTCTAACGGTAGCACGAACCGAATTCAAATGAGGCAATCGTCACTTTCGAACCTCTAACTCCCTTAAGCTTAGTCTACTCCCCTGAGTTTCCGATTGTTCACAATACACTTCTACTCTAGTCTTTTAGTTTCATATTCTTCAATCAAATGTGAGCGAATCTCCGTGAACTGGGGGACTCCATCATTGATTCAAGGATATTTTCACTGTACTCCGAGGCTAATGAGGACGGCGGTGGTGACTCGGACTGTGAAAGTATTGGTATGCTCTAAGGCAAACCCCAACTCACGAATATTCGGCCAATCGGCTGCAACATCTTTGATGGGCATATCATCAATATGGTATCCCGTGGTGAATGGTTCACCCTTGCTGTTGGACTCCGAGATCCGAGTCGAAGAAAACCGACGCATCCGAGACAGGAACGGATAGAGAGGTAGCCTACGAGCACAAGCACAAAATCGGACCAAGGCGAGCGACGTTTTGACGTCGGCTCGCGTCCTGCATTGTTTTCATGTTTTTCTTTGATATAATAACCAGTTGGCAATGTACTTACTATAAAAGCGCCTGCAGTAGCACACGGACATCTCTGTTCTTTGGAAGAGACCGAGATGTGAGTTAGAATTTCGTTATCGATACTTATAGAGTGTAACGCGACGTAGTGTACTTGTCCTTACAGCGTTCAGACTTCCTACCTTTGTATATTCACCAGACTTGCCTTGTTTTTGTGCATCATTAGGAATAGATCTACAAGATCAGGGGCATTACCCAAGTTGCTTATAACCGACTTGGGTCACGTGAAGGTATTTTTTTCGGGGAATGTGGAGTCGCTGTCGGACTAGGTTACAACCACAGCACTCAAAAGTTCCAGGCTTCCTGCTTTTGAGAGAGGATTTCTTACGATGCATGACATATGATGCGAGAACTCAGAGCTGCGCCTTCTTCGCTTGTCTTAGGGTCTCCACAAACCTTGTGCGCAATTCATTTACTGCTCCGAACGCTCTCGGACACAGCCACGAATTAGCAACTGGCTTTTTCAGGGTGTCCTACCCTGTTCTTCTCACACGAGCCAAGTGCTTCGCAAAGCGTTATCCTGGTGTGTCGTTTAGTGAAGCGAAACGAGCTGAAGTCTCAGAACAAGTGGAAAATTCGAGCATCTGCCCTTGCATGAGTGCCCCTCAGTGCTCACGGATTCCGATAAATTAAAAGCATTACTTCTGTTGCTGCATCCTCCTTGCAGTCTTCCCTTCAACCGTTCTCTCTTCTCTTCACATAATGCTGGACCTAAGATCACGCCTGTTCGAAATTCAACTCGGCAATCCAATACAGTACGTTTCCTTGCCGTCTTAAACTATAGCCAGTACTTTTCGCAGGTTGTACTATATGCTGACCATTATAACATGTATTCACAGACAAGAAAATTGATACATGGAGTATGCTGTTGACTTTTCAATACGAGGTCGAAGAAGAAATTATTGATAATTATGTGACGTAGGTCCTAGGACCAAATGCGACACCTTGACGAACATGGGGGGTAGAATAATATATGGGACATTGGACGAGGGATTGAAAAAGTAGTAAGTACTCGATTAAAAATGACCTATTCCTCCGAGTCGATGCCGCATTGCATTCCTTTGGCCAACCGTCGACGCGTCAACCTTGCGTGAATCCTACAGGACGCTCAGCAGTTAGTGAGGTGTATTGTTCTTGTAACAAAAATCTAGGACTGATACTTGGTTCGTGAAGTCGTGTGTGCATTGCCCGAACCAGTTGGCAGATAACTCACTGGACTGTCGCGTGTAGTGGTCACTGGTCAATGCCAGTGGACACAACGTGCCTCCGCCCCATGATTGACCGACAGTGTCCACCTACAAAAGTGTCTGCTGTTCTTACCACCAGGATCAATCCACAATCCTCACAGATTTGGCGATGAATACCCCCATGACGTTGTTAAGTTCAAGTCCGCTGTGAATGCGAACACAAGCACACGACGATGTGCCCACAGCTCTCAAATATTTAAAGGATACTGGTCTAGAAGGTAACTATCAAGCTCTTCCCAGTAGTGAACGCTACATCGCAGAACAAGCCTTCACTTCTTACCTTGTCTTCACTCCTAACTACCATGATTCCCGGAAGAATTATTCGAATCAACGACAAGGTCACCTTAAAACTTTGGCCCAGGCTCGAGGGCCAGGTCATCAAGAGCACCCCATTATTCTCCTTGAAATTCAAGCCGATGACAGTTTCTCCGTACTATCCCAACCTGCACCCGAACGAGTTAGAACCTGCTATGCAACAAGTGGTCATCACGATATCGCCCTTGGCCAAGGCGACCAAGGACGATGAAGAATGCTATCAGCAGGACGCTGACGATCAAGAAGACTATCAGTACGACGAGGATGAGGATGATGAGGATGACGAGGAAGATAACCTCAGTACTAGTTGTGATTCATCAGAGGATCAGGATGACAGCAGCTGGGAATGCTCACATCCCACTGGAGGTATGTATCACATACTTTTTGCAACTGTTTTTTTGGAACTGACGACATTTTATAGACCTACCCTGCAGTGAAGCAGGTTCAGAAGACATCAAGGACTCTGATTATTCTACCACCGCAGAAGTAGGACGGAAGAGGAAGAGGGAGGACTAGGTGTCAAGAAGTGTATTATATTTGGGTCAGGAACTCATGGAATGTCAAGGCATTGGACTCAGATACGGCATGGTCATCGATATATCTAAGCTTATGGACTCGTCATGCACCTGGTGTGCTCGACTACATAGTAGCAATGAGTAGCTGGGTCTGCTAGTTATCTGTTATTGTATACATCTGGGTATCCTCACTCTTTATCGCATGTGTCATCGTCCCCCACGGTCTTGTAATATTTTAATCCATGCACGCAAGCTTGCCGCAGTCGAAACGACGTTCAGAACTTTTAAATGCATCTTGAGGCTGGGGTTATGAATTTTCAAGTGTTGTCGTGACTAAAGATGAGACCTTGAAATAATAAATTATATATAGCTGGCATACGAGCGTCCTTCCCGGATTTGTAGATCGGACGATCTGATTACCGCGGATGTTGATCTGTGACCAACTTCGACCCCAGAACCGACGGCAAGGCAGAGCCGCGGGGACGAGAGATTTCTCCTTCATTCTTTCTACCATCTCGATTCAAACAACTTATCATCGCTTACATTTTTTGATGAACGCCGTATGCATGCTCTATTACCATTGAAGAAACCGCAACAGGAATCTCAAATATTGGAAGGAGGTAACCCCCTATATCGATAATGCACAATTATCATCACTGGTATACAAGACCCCCATCTAAGTGGACCTTTCTTTTACACAACAAGCATTGTTTTTGATCCCTCACTCTCAGGACACCCTACGCTATCAAACACTCACATAACCGCAAACTGTTCCACGACACCCTTCACAAGCTCCGCATCAGGTCTTTCAACCTCTATCACGCGGCGCTCCATCGTTAGCAGCGTCTTGAAGGCTTCAGGGAGTACTGAGTCAAAGTCGAACCCTGACACGCCATCCAGCGCGCTCGTCAGAGTCACCGCCTCAGAAAATTTTGCGGGGTGTGCGGTGGAGAGGATGATTTGGATGGTGTTGGGCGTGGGCGAGAGGACACCTGCGACGTGCAGCCCTACTGCGCTGTGTGGGTCTGTCGCATTCCTTTGGCCAACCATCGACACGTCAATCTTATGTAAATCCTACGGGACGTTCGGCAGTTAGTGAGGCGTGCTATCCTTCTAACAAAAAACATAGTACTGATACTTTCGGTTTGTATGTGCGTGCATGTGATTTATTTATTGCCCATTTGGCCCACCATAGCCAAGAGACGAGCGCGATATAGATATCAGCAAGTGACGAGTCCACAGGATGCGGAGAAGAGAAGACGAGAAGTACAAAACAGCCATATGGCATGAAGGTGTACGAGATAGCAAGGTAGAACAAGAAAAGTAAAGAACACGACATATCGACGCTATCAGCTACAAGTCCTGAAGTGGCCTTACAAGCAAGGCCACTTCAATTTACAGAAGACCTGGTGGCTGACGCGGACGAGCGGGACTGCACAATATCCAGACCCGTGACTACGACGTATAATGCATTACCTACCCACGAAGTTGTCTCTCATTACACCTTGACATTCACTCACGGACGCTTCCTGGATGATCATTTCACCTTCTGTCTGACGAAAGTGGTTATTACCGCAACAGAATAGAAATCTGTTTGTCCTGGACTGCGCAGGTTCAAAACCTGTTGACAAATGATTTTTCCTTCTTATCATATCTTGACATTTATTCATGAACAGTTCGGACATTCATCTCAACTTCCTCCTGGCGAAAGTGGCTAGTAACCACAACAGAATAGAGGTCTGTTTCTCCTGAACTGTACGGGTTCGCAACCTGCCGACAAACGATTTTTTTCTATTAGAACACGCTTTGAAGATTCACTCGTGGGTGAGTTCCTCGCAGGTGCATCTTAACTGGTCCTAGCCAAGTGGTTACCGCAACAGAGTCAAAATCTGTTCTTCTTCAAGTTGGACTGGACAGGTTCGAAACCTACCCACCACAAGGTTGTTTTTACTCCAAAGTACGAGTTTCAGGAACGTAGAGAGGATATGCCAACGCAGTCGCAGTCAATTGGGCGGCCCTGGATTTTGTGGAGATATTGGAAAGTCGTGTATGCCATGATGGTTGCTCCGTATCGGACTGCGCTCCTGTGGGTATGAAATGAGTCGACACCATGAAGCATAAACCAAATCACACATACTAAGGGAAACATCCGA